CTGTATTCTTTGGGGTGCTTCGCTTTTCCCCCTGCCACGCCATTATTGTTTGTAACCCAGAGAATAGGAGAGAGGAATTGTGGTAGTTGTAGTTTTATTTCACCGCGTTTAGTTCGTTTCTGTAGCTACAAATGACTACGATTCCTATTAGGCATCAAAATCAAACCTACGACGCAGAGCGTAGGCATAGAAAGGTTTTGAAGCACACAACTAAGTTTTATTTGAATCCATTGTTGTACGGGAAGCAAACGAGGCAGAAGACAATTGCAGTTTACAAATATGTACAATTAAATGACAATTTGTGTGTCTTTGATAATACCAACTTCAATGAAATTTTTGGATTTAGGCTAATTGTCAGAACAGTCAATAAAGAGTCTTACTACAATTAGCCAATTTACATTTGTCATCAATGTATTTTTGACATTTTGGTAATTATATGGATCAGATTTTTTAAAAGTTATTTTTAGCGTTATTTTCAGGCTATGACCTACTTGCATCATATGGCCTATTAGCCCCAGCTAAAGGCCTACATTACCCATTGGGAGTAATAGCTTTATTCAAGATAAAGTCACAGATTTATAACCTTAAGATTTATTGCATAACATTATTATTCCTGGATACATATTGCAAATTAGGCTCGAAAGACTTATAATTAAATGACGTATTCACGCCTTTGAGCTACAACTTGGATATAAAGTCCTGGTTGTAAATCGTAGCCTAAGCGAAAAATGATGCTGCTGATGCAGGTACAGGGAGACCGAGAGCAATTAGGGGCGGTACTTTTAACTCTTTTATTCCCTGCCCTACAGGCTCATTAACTTCCCAAGATAAGCCCTCTAATTTGCTTTTTTACCAGTGGATCTTTACTACAAAAATGTGAGGGGGCCCCAGCTCCAAATGCAGCTATAGCTATTTGCTGCACCCACTCTATGAATGGGCACGCCCATAACCACTGGGCGCAAAATTTTGAATGATGGTATGTGCATTGTGGCATGTAAAAATTACAGATCTGTTCCTTTACTTAGCTTTTGTGACAAGTGAGCATCGAACCGGATCTTTCAGGTAGGCTACACTGTTCTTTTATTTTGTGTTTTCATTGTGTATTAAGACAGTATATTTGACGAAGGTTAGACACGCTAACGTTGTCACTGTATTGTACTTTGAGACAGAAGGTCAATCACTGAAATAACTGACATAAATACGGTGGTGTGCTATCATTACAGTTTGTGTTTACATTGTGAGCGCAACGCAATCAGTGTTGTTTATTGTTGCTGCCAGGTACATGGCTAATAATACTGGGTCTGTCTATATAAATAAACGTTATAATAATGAGTGATCCCTGTGTTCATATGTGAGCCAAATAATGGAGCTTCATAGCATTAGCATATTTTACGAAGGTTAGACACAATATTGTCACTGTAATGTACATATTGTGTTTTTATTTAATTTTTATGTTGTGCACATTGTGGGGGCATTGAGTCCAATTCCTTGTGTTCTTGAAATACTTGGCAATAAAGTTTATGCTTACTTTGAGACAGAAGATGCAAGTAAAATAATAATAGTCAAAGTAGCCATCTTGGCTGCTACTGTGGGTGGGTGGGTGGTGTGGGCGAGCAGTGAGCAAGTTTCTCCTGACTCCCATGTTTTAGTTACATCTAAAGTGACTGAGAACAGATATAGGATGACAGTGATGAGGCATGAGGCCTCTGATGAAAACAAATAGAAAGAGGTCTCATTGGCTGCCTGCATGTCTCTAAGGAGAATGCTGACGTTTGTCTGCCACCAAAGACTAACTGTACTGTCAAAGTCCTCTGTGCCCAGATGCATGTGCTCAACTGTGTATGCACACAGGGGTGTTATTCTACTTAGTTGACTGTCAGCACTTTCACACACTCAAATTTCATTCCTAGTCAAAACCTCTGACAGTCAAAGACATTTTGTCCTGTCAGGCATTTTCATATGCTCACTGAGATGCTTCTTTGGCAGGTTATATTTACATCTTCATGTCCACTGTAAAAAATAAATTCACGTTCCCAACCACAGATTACAGAGAATAGCTATCCCTCTGTTGGTCTCTGTACTTACGGATTCAGGCCATAGATCCACCTTTACATGGTTTTCATCCTCAAAGCCCTCAGGCACTTTGTTTTGCATCAGCAAGGGGATGGTTATTTTCTGACTGAGGGCCATTCTGCCACTGCTCAAGCTGTCTCTGTGAATCTACAGGCATGAGTCAGAGAAATATAAAGAACTTTGTTATGGAAGACACTATTGAT